ATGCCCTGAGCGAAAGGCCGACATGGCGGTCTGAAAGTAGCAACTCACCGGCTACTCTAAGGGTTGAGTCCCCATTCTTTCCAACCGTCGTTCTCTTCGAAAACCGGATCCGTTTTCCCTGGGTTTTCAGAAGTGCTCTAGAAAAATTCGGATCCCTGAAAAGAATGGGCTGTGGCTCAAAAAACCGGTGCCAACATGGCTTGGCCTGGTAAGTGGAAACATGGACCAAAACCTGTGGTTTGCCCCTCCGATCGTTTAATTTTGAGCCACACCCATTTGGGGGGGTCCAACCTTAGAAAACACACACACAGGGGTGTGTCTTGGACCAAAACGAGTAGGCCGTGTCTCTGGAAAGATTCGGATTTCAGAATGGAAACGGAAGGTAGCACTCACCGGCTACGGCCCATGGCCTCAGTGCTTCCTCTTCTTGAAGGCCTGAAGCGTCGAATCGTCGATGGATGCATGCGCTTTCGGGCGTGCCACGGGGCCCCTAAGGCGCTAGAAAACGGTTTGGAGGTGGCGAATCTGTGGATCCACCCCTGTAGGATATTGAAAAAGAGTACTAAAAGATTGCGAAAAAAGAACCAACAGGGGGAAGAACAGGGAAAGAACAGGTGAAATCCACAAGAAGCACACCAAAGCCTTTTCTAGAAAGGCGGTGAATTGAAACAGTTGCTGCGGAACTCATCCTATGGAAGAATCTCCTTTTTGCTGGGTCGCCGGTTCTTTTCTAGGGGAAAGCAAGAAGTCGAGTCTGTTGAGATTTGGGCTTTGCCAACATCACCTGCAAAAGGCGACTCACATAAGGACAACCATGTTGAAGCCTTTGCGTCCCCTGCAAACAGTACGGTAATCATGACCCCCAAGAAAAACTCAATCAATGTTAGGCAACATCTGACGGCTGGGCGTGTAGACCAAACAAACAGTGATCCCAGTTTGATACCTCGCCCTCAGGTGTCCTTTTAGGGCAAATAGATGGCCCTGGTAGATGATTAAACCACGAGGTAAACCAGGGCCATCTATTTTCCCACCAAAACAACCAAAAGACACCTATCATCTCGCCTGGCAAGTTGTCCAAGTTGTCACTCTCGCCTGCGCGCCTCGTTCAAGCCTTCCCCGTCTTGTAGAAGATGGGCGACCAGCATTTCCTGGTCTCCCGGCATTGGGTTGAAAATCGCGAGTCGATCCTGGTTTCCGAGCTGCATCATCTAGGTCCTCCAGTAGAGAGGTTGGAATAAGGGTGCCAGATTTGTTTGTCTATTTTAGTAGGGGAACACTCCCCCAAACAAGGGGTGAGAAAGAGCACTACTGGGAGACCTAGTCGTGAGAACTGCTCTCTCTTGATCCATGTCGATCTTCTGGTTGGGTCGCCCTCTCAACACTTGCCCTTCAGGTCGCGAAAGGAAATGTCCCGGGTGCCAAACGAATTGTGACCCCATACCCCCCCCCCCCGCCCAAGAGAACAAGACACGGAATAACAACAGAACCACAGACGTCGCTGCTGGAGAAGAACAGTTCGAGCTCCTCATGGACTCAGTTCACTCGCGCCTAAATGTGCTTCTGTTTCCGCGGTGCGACTCAAGAGCCCGCCTGCTTCTCCAGTTGCTTGTGGATCTGCGCGTGGATGTGGGTCAACCTTGCCACATGGGACCCAGACTGCCCAAAAAAGACCCAAGCGTCCGGGTTGGGCCTTGGGATCGACCAACTGTACAAGCCAGTGCCAACCACAGAAGCCGAGGAGTCCATGTCTATAGGCAGCTGGAGCAAAAATCAACTCATTCAGTTCTTGGTCGACCACCCAAATCAGCTTCCTGGTTGGTGGTTTGGATTGGTGGTGCTTAAAAAGGGGTGTCCCATTTACCCTCTACAAGGACCAGGCTTAGGGTTCAAATCCGCAAACCACCAGTCCAAACCACCAATCAGCGGTCCCTAACAAGCTGCGCTGCGTCAAATGTTATTTTGCTTAAATGCACAACAGGCAGCAAGTCGCAGCAAGATGCAGCAAGATGCGCCAAAAGGTCGCACTTGCACTGAGGCGCCCGCTTGTCAAACGTGTTGATGGCCACTGGATGTGCCGTCTCTGGAGAGTCCGTCTGGGCTATGTCCGGCTTGGCACAGACAAATGCTGGGCACAAAGCACTATCAAAACCACGCCACAGTCAGTATCTACAGGCATCTCTAAGTGCCCCCTGCCATAGACGGGTTTGTCTTCTTTGCTGTTTTTTGCTTTTTTGTGTTCTTTTTTGGGGGGAACCCTCTTTTGGTTGGCTTTGAAGGGCCACCCAAAAGAAAACGAAAGGCATCTTGGCTGAAAGCTCTCCAACCCCCCGCCTCGTCCAAGACTTCCACCGGAGTGCTGCGCGGCAAGCGCATGGAGCAAGCGAAAATGGGCGCAAAATGAGCGCAATCTTTAGAATGTATGTGGCTGTGGGTCAAAAATGCATACCGAAAATGGAACCCTGGTAAATGGAAGGCTAAAACCTGCGGTCCCCTGGTGGTTTTATTTTGACCCATACCCATGTTTGGGTTATCGTCCCTGCAAGGCCCTTTGAACTTTGAATTTTTAGAACAGACTGTTGCAAAGCCCTAAAAGTTCTCGTGGATTTCCTTTGAGGTGTTTGGGGAATCTTCAGCATTTAAAAAGCGCGCGCCGCTCGATCCGGCCTCACCGCCTCGTCGGAGGCTTTCAGAAAGCCCGGCCGCGTCGATTTCGAGGGCCTAGAGCGACAGAGAGGTCGAAAGCGTCAACTGGCCCTGGGTTGCATAACCTAAGGACCTATGGCTCCATTTTGGGGTGGATGAACATCCATTTGCCACCTATTTTGGTGTTCACCAGGGGTGGGTTTTGACCCACGTCTGGTTTGAGCTGGCAGTGATTCATGCCTTTGTGTTGACAAATCTGGCTATGAAGTCGGGGTGTTCTTTTTGGTGTTCGGGTCGCGGAGAAAAAAAAAAAAAACTCGGGTGTGCGACCGTCCGCGACTATGGACTTCTGGACCCGAAGATGGGAACACGGATCCATCCTGGGGCTGAGGCGTTTTCACAATGACGCTGCCAGCCTGCCGCAAAGGCCCAAAGAATGAAACGAAGAAACCACGGCCCAAGCCGAAGACGGGGGTTCAGCGAGTCAAAACCCGAGGAAAAAACTTGGTATGTTCTTTGCCTCATCGCGGAGAGACGCGACATCGGCTCGCTGGAGAACTACTGGATTGCCGGGGTCCGGGATTGGGCAAGGACCTTTTTGGGATGTTGCAATCGCAAACAAAAGGAAACAGCCAGTCGGGGGGGGGGGTACCCACGTGGCTCTTTTGCGAGCGCAAGAACCATGGAACCCCAAGTCTTGCATGGAAAGGCGTCTTGCCTTTGAAAGCTCGCGGACGCTTCGAGAGGCGATGCTTCCCAACTGGCCATACGGCCCCTAGACCGCCTGGCTGGGGCTGGGGGAAGGCAACGAAGCAGCCATTGCAAGCCAAAACAGCGGGACAAAACCTGACAAAAGATCTCAAAAGGCGAAATGAACCGCAAGAATGGATCCCCTTGGGAGTGCTTGCCTGGTCCGGCATGCAGCAGGTGCTTGCAGCGCAAGCTTGCACGCCAGACCTGGGGAGAGGCATGCTGTCGATGCAATTTGAACATCGGAACTCATGGGTTCGCCATAGAAGGACGACAGCTCAGGCACACGTGATCAATCTATAGTCGCCATTACAACAATACGACAGACACTGCCAAAACACCCTTGCCTATTCACCACGGCTACCCGAACAACCTCACTGAACAATCTCAGTCATGGCCCCTGCGAGCTTCCCAGGCAACCGAGGCACGATTCACCACTTCAACGACTCCAAGCCCTTTCCGCTTTCCAAATTGGGGCCGCTGCACTTTGCCGCCCATGGCAAACCAAGGCGGGGCGATTCAGGCAACAGGCGCGGAGTTGGGGCTTCTAAACCGCGGAGTGGGGGACCTGCGCTCTCTGCAAAACGTTGCTCTCCCATCCATCTGAAAATTGTGCGTGCGCGCGCGTGTTTCTGTCGGTGGGTGCTTGGGGGTGGAGGGGTTGGCGGCCTGGCGCGGCGTTTCTCAGCTTCTTTGAGCCGGGACGAACTCGCAAGGCTCCGCTTGCCAATCACCCGCTGTGAGAGGCTTCTGCCACGATGCCCCTTCCAGCTCAAGAGCTGAATGGTTCCATCCCTTACCCCCTGGAGCTACAAAACGGGGTTTGGATGTGCCGAATCTGTGGATCCACCCCTGTTGGATACTAAAAGATAACCAACATATAACCAACATACTAAGACGTACAGGTGAATTCCGTGAAAAAAGAGCCTCACCTGCTCTTCTCCACTTGCGACATCTCGGGTCGCTAGCGCGACTTCGCCGCCTTTCTTTTCAGAGCTCGGTCCGCGGCGCGGGCGCCCGCGCGGGCGAACCTGAGCACGAAACTCGTGCCAGGACAAGGCGCTGCGGGAAAACCCGCCGTGCCCAACTGGTGGCTTGTTTTGACCTTGAGCTTCTTCCCCCGTGGGGAGATCCCCCAGGTCTCTGTGGGGATTTGCCAAAATGGACCAATACACTCGTTTCCCGTTTAGGGGAAAAAAAGTCCCAGCTTCCCTGCTCGCCATTTTTTGGCTCGCTAGCTCGCTCTCTCTCTCTCTCTCTCTCTCTCTCTCTATCTATCCATCTATCCATCTATATATCTATCTATCTCTCTCGTTCTCCCCCGTTCCTCCCTTGCACAACCTCTCACTTCGTCGGTAGCTTGACTTGCTCAAACCCGGCTTTGCGCCACGAGCCAATGCATCCCGAGCTTTGGGAAAAAACGAGATGATGTCAACCAACCCGAAAAGAAGGCGCTTGCCATGATCAAGCAAAGCCCTGGCACGGATGTGACCAGCTTCCCCCGCGTTCCAAAAACTTTAGGCCTCGGCAAAACGAATCCCGCGAAGTCGCCTCTTTGGGCGACTTGTAATCGCCGGCCGCGGACATTGCCGGATAAAGAGTGAGACTCAAGTGGTTGGCTTGCGAAAGACGTAGAGGTGAGCCCGGAGGTTGATGGTCGCCTGAGGAGACGCACGCTGGCACCGGCAGGGGTCAAGGGGCTAAGCGCAACCAACCCCACCGCGCCTCACCTTCCTCCGTGATGTATGGCGACCCATCCAAGATCGTCTCCCAGCCAGCGAAGGCCTTCAGAACTTCCTGCAGGGATCGACATGTTGAGACGCTCCAGCTCAACAGCTTCAGCCAATTCCGGAGTCCCCTTGCAGTAAAGACTCAGAAAGGTCATGGATTTGTTGGTCATCATCTGCTTCCCGCATCCAGAAACCGCTCCGAGATCTCGGTACGCATCCCGCCAACTAGTTGGGAAACCTGTGAATGGTCATAGTTGTTGTGCAATCCTTCCAAGGGAAACAAGCCCTGGGGCTGCTGTTTGGGGAGCCTGAGAACAAAGCACTATCACCCCCGGGCTCTGCTTCCCATAAAATCAAACCCAAAGAAATCTAAACCATGTAAGGGATGCCTGCGGCATGGGACGCAGGTCGCCCGCGCGACTAGTCGTCTCTCGAATCTTTGTGGCTCAATTGACTCACACAGAGTGAGCTCCCATCATCAGATATATCAAGCCAACAAACCAGTCCAGCCTCTAAACATGACCATTGAAAGGAAACCTCTCTCCATCATCTGGGCCATGGTCACCACTTGTCCATTCCCCAGCTGATAGTTGTGTCAATCCCTGTGGGGTGGAACCACAAAAAGGAAATTGAATTCTGCGTTTTTCAAGGCAATCGTGCCCTATCTGGAGTTGGTTTACATTGAAGCCAAACGAACAAATAGCACTCTATCTTCGAGCGCTTCCCCTTTGATACATCTGGGCTCAGATCCCCTGCTAAAAGTTCAACTTTTAGTAGTTTACATGGAAACTACCACTAAACACTAAAAAACTAACAAGCTAAGGGGATGGCTGGGAGCCACCAAGGCATGGGAACGGTCGACCCCCCGGCCCCAACTCCCATCCTCTGCGGGCGCCACCCCAGACACCAGCAGCAGCACGCCTCTGGGCCGGAGCGCGGCTCGCAGCGACACAGCCGCCAAAGCCAGCGAGTCCACGCCTTCCAAAGGTCAGTGACCCTGGAAGAAAAAGGGAACCCTTTTTGGGGAGACCATTTTTAGTGGGGTAGCCACCTAAAAAAGAATGGAAAAAGGGTGCCACTGAACAACTGCGACACCTTCAGTAGGAAGGAATGGTAGGCCCACTTCGGCATGAGAGTTAGGCAACCAGTTATAGAATGTCTATTGTTTGTTTGCTTCACGCATTGTACAATGTATCCTAAGTCCAGCCATGGTTCCCATAGACTTTGTCTATTTTACTGTTTGCTTGACCGTGAGTCATTGGTGAAATGTGAACATGTATGCTAAGTCCACCCCAGCCATGTTCCTTTCAGTGGTTTGAGGGCCCCTACTCCACAAATCCACCTCTCTCTTTTGTGTGTGTGTGTGTGTGTGTTTTTGCAAACCCTGGTTTGCCATGGTACTACCAACCGTGGGCATTTGGAGTGGGAGGTGGAGATTTATGGAGAGCGAGGACCCTTCTCCAAGCGGTGAAGTGTTTGAGCCGTTTGAGCCGCCAGAACATGGTGCAAAGAAACGGAGGCATTGCATCACCCAGACCAGTCTGGAAGAAAGGCGCGTAGCTGCCCTTGTTGCAAAACCGATGGGTTTCCCTGGTAGATGATTGAACCGCCAGCTAAACCAGGAATCGCCCCCGTTTTTTTATCCTATGGAAAGGCATCTCTTGCAAAACAACCAGCGAAAAGGCGACGCCTGGCGCGCACGCCGCGCCTGCGCAGAAGAGGGCGTCCACTGCGCCCTTGTCGATCACCACGTCAAAGCTATCATGGAAGGCCTCCCGACTTGCCCAATCTTTTTCGTTTCGTCGCGCCTTCAGTCCGTTGAACAAAAAAGGGGCTCCGATTTTTGAATGGGCGAAGCATATCCTGAACATTGAAGCGACCTGCTGATGTTTCATATTTTCTTTTCGCGGAGTCCTTTGCCACCCTGGAAAGCCCCGAAGGGCCTGAGTGATCTCCCAAGCTTAGGTCCATCCTACTCGACGGAACTCCACTCACTCTCATGTCTACGCAAGGGGACCAAGTCAAAAGCGGTCGGGATTCGAAAAAAGAAGCCCTGGGTTCAAACCACCACGGCGGTTTGTAGAACTGGCCTCAATATTTGACCATGATCAAAGTCACCCCCTAAGTGGTGGGCTAAGGGAAACGACACCATTTTCTGACTTGGATAACCCCCCGAAGCCGTCCAAAATAATGACCCCAGTAGAACTCCCCTACTTTTCCTAAGGCTTGCCATCCAAAAACTGGGTCCCAAGGCCATTCTCCTGGGGTTGACTCCATCCGCCTCCGGCAGGTGTCGCAGGTCCGCCACCTCCTGGCGCACCTTGCGCCCCTCCGCCACCTCGCGGGCCCGCGCGATGGCGGCCTGACGACGTCGAAGGCGAGCGGTGCGCGGGCAAGTTCCTTCGAGGCGCCGAGGGCGAGCTTTTGCTGGGCCCCTCACCTGTAAGTTGTAAAATGCAAAAAGCAAAGACATTGAGTCAAACTCACCAGCTGTTTGGCAGAGGTCTGCTCACAACCGAATGATAGAAAATGGATGCAAGTTGACAAACTGAACCGAGTCTTGTTTGGGATACCAAACATCACTTGTGCTGCCAGCTCCAGTGTCTAAGAGACGCCCAAACAAGGCAGGCAAAGAAATGGCAATGGGGATCTCGGGATCTCCATTTGGGTTTGTGCTGCTTTCAGGGCCCTGTTCTGGTTGGTTTCAAGAGAAACCAAAAGGAGAACTGCTATTTTGGGGGGTTCCGCTTTGACATACACTCCCGATGAGACACAGCAAGCTGCCTTCAACCGGCCTCGGCGTAGTCCACGTTCCAAATCTCTGCAGGCGACTTCTGTCCCAGTAGGTCATCATAGAGATCCTCATCCACTTGGCTGTGTGCTGTTGTGAGGCTCGTTACCCTCTTCAAAAGGAAGCCACCCATTTCGGGGGTCGGGACCCCTATTTTGACACATACCCACTTGTTTTCCTACCTAGACGTACCGACAGTCCGGACTGTATGCAGCCGCGGATCCTTAATTCAATAGTTCTATCCTCTGTTCAATCAGGTTAAGCCGACGAAAACGCCCTCCAGATTCTTCTTGCTCGCATGGTTGCGCCTTTGGGGTCTGGTGGTGTAAGCACCCTTCTCACATTGCTCTCTTGAACCTTGAGCCCAGTTGCGCACGTCAAGCGCGAGTTCCCGCATCCTGCCACCAGAATCCGCGGCCTCGAATCGCTCTCCGATCTCCTCAGAGGAAGGCGGAGGAGGCAACTGCGACCTGCACACCTCAAGTTATGACTTAAACGGCTAAAGGTGCTTACCAAGCAAGCTATCTATCGAGAAGTTGATCATAGCTTAAGCTACGCCTTTCCCCTTAGTGATCCTGTTACACCAAATTACGTCGATCACTTCTAAACTGGCGGTTGGTGGACATCCTCGGTAAATGGTCATCTCCTGCTCATTTGCTCGTCCCTTAAAACCCAGTCAATGAAATTTTGGATTTACACCCAACTATGGAAACAGTTCCAACCATTAAGAGTTCGGCCGTCGACTTACGCCAGGCCACCCCCGTGATGCCTCCAGCACTGGCTGGGCAAACTCTTGGAAGAAAGGCTGAAAGTCCTGCCCCGCGTCCCTGGGCCTCTGTCAAAATCTAAGCCTTGTGGTCTAAGCCACAAAAGAATCAGAAGAGCAGATGTCCGAACCTGGCGACGGTCCTATTGCGCCGCACAAAGAATTTATCAGCGCCGGAGCAGCCGCGAAAAAGAGATTTTGGGTCGACCGCAAGCTACTTTTGCTCGAAAAAAGCAGCAGAGAGCGACTGTCCCTTGCACTTGGCGTACCCGGAATTTCATTGCGCCTCTACGTACAACTGGCACATGAACCCAACTTGGCACCCGTACAGCCCGTTTGTTTTGGTCTAGTTGCCACGAAAACAAGTCATGCGGCGTTCTTTTATGTTGTTCGACGAGAAAGATCCGAAACCGTGTCATACGGGTTTCATACGGGCCGTATACCTGAACAAACCGAAAAACATTGGAAAATACGGCCAAATACAGGCAAAAGACACTTGCAACTAAAAGGGGCCCCAATCAGAACTCATACCCGATTCATATCATAGCACAAGGCTTTGTTCTTCGCAGCCCCCTCTACGGAACAGGCTCGGGGGGGGGAAAAGGGGGGGAGGGTGAGTCCCGAACCGGGGGCAACTGATGCCTAAGAAAAAGATAACTACTGTGGTGGCATCTCTGTGGCTGGATCTGATGGTGAGGATCACTCTGAATACGCACTGCGTACAAGAAGTGCCTTGGGCCAATATGTCAATGTGAAACATAGATTGCATGAAGGTCAACTGCGTGGAAAGCTGACACAAAACACAGACACACACACACACACACACACACACACACACACACACATTGTTTGACCTTTCGCATCGAGTTGCTGTCTCAAGGCTCTATTCCGTAGCCATATGTTTCTATATTCGCCGTTGCCATTGGAAAACATATTCAGATCGATTTCGAATATGTCAAAAAATGTCACTCGCCTTTGTGACTCGGACATGCTTGATCTGTCTCGTGTTTACGTTGATCTGTCTTGTACAAACTGATTGCAACTGCGCTCTAATTTGCACATAGGAAATGGCAAGCCAAAAGCTGACACCTACATGTGTCAAAATGGGAATTGCGTCTTATTGGTTGTAAAGATGCATTGACTTGAAAAATAGAGATCATGTTGTCCTTGTGAGACTAGCGGCTCACTTTGCAACAACCAGAACCTAGTGGTGCTGTGAATGCGCTCCTTGCACAGTGTGAAGCAACCGTGAAACGGGAAAAGGCCGGCAGGGGGGACATGTCAAAGCAATTTGTGAGCCCATTGCTTGCAAGTGATTCAGCTTCACTACAAGTGCTGGCGTTGCTATGAAACCCGACGCTATGTGACCGCCAGTTGGAAAACCGCCACACGGTGGCTCGGAAATGGAAATGGGTCCTCGTAGCCGCAGTACCAGTCGAACTCTTCGGCGGTGTCCTCTGAGCACGGAGCGCGACAGAAAAGTACGCAGCTGGTCTTCTGAGCTTATTGGTTCGTCTCGAAGGCATTTCGCTGCTCTTCTCCGCGTGTGGAACGTCGCCTTTGGGCTCCTGAAGGTGAGCCTTTGGAACGAGCTGCTTCATTGGTTAACCCTGCCTCAATTCCACGGCAAGGGGGACTCACAACCATGGCAAGTGGGTGATAACCGTGGTTACTAACCCACTTCGCGAAGTGCCGGACCATGAAAGTAAAAGGAACATCAGCCCTCTGAAGTCTTGAATCCAAGGCACAGAGTCATCAGAGTAGAACTTCTCCCAAAACTCTTGTGTGCCTTCGGGCGCCGAGCGAAGGATGGTCGCGAAAAGCCCATGGATAAGATCGATATCCGAAACTGGCAGCTCCCCATGGATCCGTGGATCTCCCTTCCATGTCCACATGTGCTGCTTGGCTTCCCATCTAGAAGCACCGCTTGAGAGAGCGAAAAGCGATGCACCCGGGGCTGACAAAAACCACACGAGTTGCTTGCCGGCTCAGGGACTTGTCTGTGGCTCCTTTTCCAAGTGGGTTCGATTGGGAAGAATCGTTATGGATTGGCAAAATAAAATTCCGTGGGCCGTGCTTTCTCCAGCTAGCCATGTGAAAATGGCCCAATGAGTTTTCAGTGGCCTCTGAAAGAACTGGGGAACAACATCAGGAAGTGGAGAGGACTACAACTGGCATCCGCAATTTCCAGCGGCCAAGTTGCCAAAGGTTTGGGCGCGACGTTGGATGCGCCCGGCCTGACATCTTCTTCGAAATTGCATCTCCACTCCTAGCCGGGGTTCACTTGGCTATGGGTCAAAAGCCCGTACCCCCAGTGAACATCCCAATCCCCACTAAAATAGACTAAAATGGGTGCTACCCCAAAATGGTACCATTGGTTTTGACCCAATGCCACTTGGGTCCATACACCGTCTTCCTTACCCCCCAAAGGCCTCTCCCCCAAAGGAACTTTACGGGAAGGGCCCCATTCTTCCATCTCGCATAGCATGCTTCGGTATGGCTAGGAATGCAGGGCCAAGCTTTGGCCTCCAAGAATCCTCCATCCAAAGCACAGAGACACGTTCGCCGTTCAGATCAAAACCGAAGCTCCCACCCAGCCTTTGGCGCGAGGAAGCAGCCAGGCCCCTCACGGTTTGTGGCCGCCCCGCGCCGGGTCAGGGGTCTTAAGCCCAGCGGAAGGTAGTGAGGGGCCCTCCTTTTCATGAAGGAACTGGGGACAACACCGGAGACCACCTTTTTTGGAGCTTACCAGTTGGAGACAAACCCATGTTCAATGCAAAATCTTTATCCCCCAGAAATCCGAGAACCCCAACCCAAAAAAAAAGCCCCGAAGACTTCAGTTGAAACCTTTCAGCTTTGGGAAGACCCAAATCTTCGGTGCCGAGTGGGGAGACAGAAATCTCGTTTCGGTTTTCCTTTGGACCAGCCGGGCGCCCCGTTTGGAGGCAGCAAACCAAGGAACTCTGAGGTGGAGCCGCTCAGTTTTTCTTTTCTTTTTTCTGAGCTGAGCTCTCGACTGATTTGTCCAATTGAAGCGTCAGGACCCTCATGTTCCAAAGAAAAGAAGTCGTGTGGTCTCATAAAGACGCATGCCCCATGTCATTTTGTCGGGGGGATGAGCCCTCAATCCGAAGCTCAATGTTGAAATGTTGGACGCCAGAAGCTTGGCAAAACGCTGCAATGCGGATGGGAATGGCAACTCCTCCTAGGTCCTCCAGTAGGGAGGCTTCAATAAGGGTACCCCTTTTTCTGTAGTCTATTTTAGTAGGGAAACCCTCCCCTAAAAAAAGGTAAAAGGGCACTACTGGGGGACCTAGGCTCTTATCCACCTATCTGAGACCTGGTGACTTTCTGTTCAGCTGCGTTGGCATTCTCCAGTCGGCAGGAAAACTAATCCAGAACTCTTTGGTGCACATCATTCAACCACGCGGGAAAAGTTGCCCATGCTCAAAACCGGCGGGCCCTCAATGGAACATTGATCAACCCTTCCCCTCCCCCCCCAAAAAAAACAACAAAAAGAGAAGGTGGGCCTCTCAACGCCTCTAAAATGCGAAAACCCAAAACCCAAACGTGTGTTTGTGTGTATGTGTGTGTGTGTGTGTCTCCAAGATCCCCGCCTGCCACCAGGCGGCGCCCATGGATTCCGCGCACCTGAATCCAGAGACCAATAAATAGTGGGCGCATGTGTCAAGTGTGGTCCTGAAAAGGGTACCCTCAACACACACACACACACAGGCACTCAGCGTGGGAAACATAGTGTAATTTGTAGATGGATCAGTATAAACCTTTATGTGGAGCTCTCCAAAAGCAAGAACCACAAGCTGGTAACCCGAATAAGGCTCAGATGATGCTTCACATGAAGAGCTTGGAGAGAACTTGCATCAAATGCGTGCATCAAATGTTTGGAGTATGTTCATGCCCCAATGAAATGTTTCGCATCACATGATAGTTGCGTGCTTGTGCACACAAGAACCTGTTGAATTGTAGGTTTGTGAACATGTCGGGTATCATTGCATCTCTTTGAGTTGCAAGCCTAATCTCTTCTTCCATATCAGATCTCAGCTGTCAGTTGAGTTCTTGGAGCTAAGCATGCATGCCTATTCTGGCTGCTAGTGCCGCCCAATGTGAGCTCCGAATGCAAGATGTGCATCGATAAGATAGTGTGCAACAAAGAGACTAGCATGTGCTCATCTTATGCGCTTGTAGAGATAGACGTCAGAAGATGCATGAGCTTGTAGAGAAGCTCTGTGCTTGTAGAGATGATGCAAGCAAGGATGTATAAGCTGTGGGATCACATTATTTGGATCTGATCACCTCCAATTGCAACTGACAGGGGCTCCCTTCAAAAGGAAATTCATCTTCCAGGTACCTCCCCACAGGTGCCATGTTAGTTGGAGGAAGGGTATCCCTCCAATGCTCAGAGTGAGCAACGATCAAAACCCCAGTCCAGGCTGCCATGTTGGAAGCCAGTCTTCGTGCCCTCAAGCATGGTCACGCGCTGTCGGCTGAGGTAAATACATCCGTTTCTTGTCTTAGTATCATTCGTCATGTATGTAGTTCACCAGGGAGAACCAGTGAGACATAAACCGGGCAGAACCACTACTAAACCATTCATGAACTAGGCTAGATTGTTTTTTCGTGTGTATGTGTTGATCTATTTACTTGCTTATTTAATAGATCTATTTAGTTGTTTGTTTATTTACCTAGTTATTTATTCGCGTGTTTCTATATAGTCTATGTACCCAGTTATTCATGTACTTATCTATTTGTTTATCAAATTATGGCCGCAGTCTTACTTATTGGTTCACATACGAGTTGTTAAAATTCTGGTTTATGCATTCGTGTGTTGCTATGTATGTGTTTATCGACTTATTGTTTTTGCGACTTATTGGGTTATTGATTTATTGTTTTATGTACTTCTCTATCTACAGTGCATATTGATGCTACTGATTTATGGATTTATGTAGTTATTCATGTACTTGTGCAGTTGTGTATTGATGTGTTTATTAACTTGTGTGCTTAATCTAGTCTATTTATGTATTGATGTACGGATCTACGTATGGAGTTGTTTATTGGCTTGTTGATTAGTTCATTGAATCATTGATTGGTCTACTCGGTTCATGTGTTCATTCATCTATTTAGTTGTTTATGGACTTGTCAAATACTTACACGCTGATTGACTTACTTATGTATTGAGTTATTGAGTTATGTATGTCTTGTTGGTTGATTGCTTTATTGATTTGCTTCCTTGTTCATGTATTTATTTGCTTGTGCATGTAGTTGTTTCATGTCTTTGTTCATTTAATTGAATATTGAAGTAGTTCTCTATCTGTTCATTCATATTTACGTATTGATTTGTGTGGTTGTTGATTTATTCAGCTTGTTCATATCCCTCAAACACCAGGAATACTCCCCGGACGCAACTCGGCCATTTCGCCCGCTGAGTCTTTGCCCACACGCCATGGGCGCCGCGCGCAAGGAGCGCAAGGCATCTCCATCCTGACACCGGCTGGAGAAGGGGCGGGTCCCGATGCTCCCCGAATTGAGTCACTTGCTCAAAACCCTGGGGACAACGAATCAACCCCTAGGGTCATGGGACAAGTGAGTCATAATAAAAACCCGGTCTTGAAATGGTCGTAATCCCAGAACCATGCTTCAAGAATTAAGGCGGAGATCCGCAGCCTTTTTCTGGCAAGAGGAGTGTTGCTAACCTTCATCAATCCCCAGGTTTTGAGCAAGTGGCCCAATTGAGAAACGAAAGGAACCGGTTCCATGTCAGGGGGTTCCATGTTATTTTTAATTTGCTTGGCAAAGGGGGGGGGGTCGTTTTCTTTGCAGGAATCTTCCTTTGGGGATTTCCTGACAAAAGGCACGCAACCGCCCCCTTGCATGGTGTTGGCAATTGGTTACTTAGAGAAGGATTGGTATTCGATTCTCACCGCTTCGCTGGGGAAAAGAGAGAGCTCCTTTGGGGACTTGGCGGTTGGCATGCGTCTCAAGGTCTCGATACGAGGAATCAGCAACAATCAGTGCTGTGCCGTGCGCTTGTGACTCTGCTGCCTCAGCAAGAACCATCTCAGAACGACTCGGGAGTTCTTTCATGTGAGCGCAACGGGAACTCCCGCAGATTCCTGCAGGCCATCGAACACCTCTCCAAGCCAGCCAGTCATTCCAGTTTCCAATGAAAGCTGAACCCGGTGTGTGTGTGTGTGTGTGTGTGTGTGTGTGTGTGTGTGTGTGTGTGTGTGTGTGTGTGTGTGTGTGTGTGTGTGTGTGTGTGTGTGTGTGTGTGTGTGTGTGTGTGTGTGTGTGTGTGTGTGTGTGTGTGTGTGTGTGTGTGTGTGTGTGTGTGTGTGTGTGTGTGTGTGTGTGTGTGTGTGTGTGTGTGTGTGTGTGTGTGTGTGTGTGTGTGTGTGTGTGTGTGTGTGTGTGTGTGTGTGTGTGTGTGTGTGTGTGTGTGTGTGTGTGTGTGTGTGTGTGTGTGTGTGTGTGTGTGTGTGTGTGTGTGTGTGTGTGTGTGTGTGTGTGTGTGTGTGTGTGTGTGTGTGTGTGTGTGTGTGTGTGTGTGTGTGTGTGTGTGTGTGTGTGTGTGTGTGTGTGTGTGTGTGTGTGTGTGTGTGTGTGTGTGTGTGTGTGTGTGTGTGTGTGTGTGTGTGTGTGTGTGTGTGTGTGTGTGTGTGTGTGTGTGTGTGTGTGTGTGTGTGTGTGTGTGTGTGTGTGTGTGTGTGTGTGTGTGTGTGTGTGTGTGTGTGTGTGTGTGTGTGTGTGTGTGTGTGTGTGTGTGTGTGTGTGTGTGTGTGTGTGTGTGTGTGTGTGTGTGTGTGTGTCTTTCTTAGGTGGGTGTGGCTCAGAATTAAACAGCTAGGATTGCGCAGGTGTTGGTCCATGTTTCCACTTACCAGGGTTCTATTTTCAGGGATCCTTACATTATACACCTGATCATTGCTTTGTAAATGGTGGTGTCCCTTGATTTTGGTGGAAAAAAACATGTTTCAAATGGGCAAAATGTATCTTGTAAGGAGCCCTGAATTTGGTACCGTCTTTTTGCGCCACAGCCAGGTTAGGTTTTTCCTTCAGGTCGCCAGGCGGCATTCCAAGTCTCCCTTTCCCCTCGCCATGGTCAGCTAAGACCTGCCCGAGGGGGGCAAAGAAAATCCAAACCACCCGCCTCTTCGACGATCTTTGTCTTCCATGGCGCGCCTTTGGCGCCTTCCGGTCCTTTTGCCACAAGTTTGATATGCCTCGGTTGCTTTCTGCAAACCCCTGCTAAAAGTGACTAACTTTTAGTGGCTTGATACGGGAAACACATGAGTTGGCAAAAAGTGTGCAAGTCCTAACATCCCTTGGCAAAATGCACCAAAGATGCCTCCGAGAGGACGCCTATTCTTCCAGAGGGGCCATACGCGTTTCGGGCGACAGAGAGACTTAAACGGACAGCTCCGGTGTCTCAGCGATTTCTTGGGAGAGGCGGTGACAAACACCTAGAAAGCAATCACACCCGCTCGCCCAAAAAGCATTGCTCTCCAATCAGGGTGTCCTTGGGGGACCCCTTTCAGGATGGGATGGTTCATTTCTAGTTTGAAGGGAACCCAAAGCAAAACTGTGCGTGTTTGTGTTGCAGGTACCCTTTTCAGCTTGGCTTGAGGGGAAAGCCAAAATGGAGAAAGAAACAAAACAAAAACAAAAACGCCATTGGACTGCCCCCTGCTTGAAACCCAAGTCCATGAATTTTGAGTCCTGTCGAAACCGCTGGCATGTGCAATTCTTGAGCCATCAAAAGATGTCAAGCGAGCGCCCTCTGCCACAAGCAACACTTCCTGGAGGTAGGCCCTTAGCTTGCTGCTGCTCAGGGAATGAGGGAAGGATGTGGATGTGGCTCAAAATTAAACAAGAGGGGTTGCGCAGGTTTTGGTCCATGTTGCCACTTACCAGGGTTCCATTTTGGGTACCGGTTTTTGGAGCCAGAGCCATGTGTCCTTTCCGGGAATCCCTTCAGGTTCATTCCCACATTCCCTACCAGGAAAGTTAGGATCCTTAGGGTCTAGGGACCAAGGAGAGAATGCTGCTGGTGGCGGATCGCGCCAAAAAAAAAATCGGCCGCCAAGACCAAAACCAAAGGCCCGGTCCAAGCGACGCAGGACATATGGGACCAACTCTTTGAGCCGCAATGTTCAATCATCCACACGCCCCCTTGCTTGGGTTAATCTACAGTGTACGGCTTGAAGTGAAACAGTCCTCAACTCCCCAAGATTAAATACTCAATCTACTGACCGAAACTGCACACCCGCGTGATCGCAAGTGGCCGCTCCGGAGAAAAAACAAAAAGGGGCTGGGGGTCCCCAAGATTACTTTTTGGAGTAGATTCCTTTCACCCTCCACAATGTCAAGGGTCACTTCATGAGAGCGTCAGGCTCGGCTTCCTTCTCGACAGTTTGAATGGCTGGTTTGAAGGTGTTCCGGGGGTAAAACCCCGATTTACCCACTCAAGAGAACCATGAGTTCAAGTCCCCAAACCAATCCAAACCGCCAACCTGGGTTACCTGAACAAGGATCCTTTGATTTACGGGCTTCCCTATTTTGACACCCAGTTTGAAAGGCGCCAGGACAGCACCAAGCCACCAAAGGGTTACCAGATTTGTTTCGCTCACGGGTTCAAACTGGCATACCTGATCTGCAATCCCCGAAAACCAAGCATGACGCTTCCTAAAGCCCGGACTTGGACTTGGATTTGCAACTAGAGACTCCGCCAGTAGAGAGCTTAGAATAAGTTGGAACCCTTGTAAATACCAACAAACAATGGGTTTCCCATGGTTTCGCATGGTGCGAACGGATTTTGTCCACAGTAGGAGAGGCCACAAGTGCCCCCACTTTGGTGTCCTGCCACTGGGCCCCCCAGCAGCGCTGCCAAGCGCTGGGCAGCTGCTGCCAGTCGTGGCTCCAGAAGCCTACGACGGGATTTTTTGCGAGTGGCTCGTCCCCCTTTCTTTGGACGTGGTGCCCCGTTTTGGGGGTCGTTTTCAAGGGAAAAACCAGGAGGAAAGCCAACTTTTGGGAGACGTGGTGCCCGTTTTGTTGGGTCGGTGTAAAGGGAAAAACCAAGAGGAAGGCCGCAATTGTTGGGTGTTTTGCTAAGAAAAGACAACCATCTGGGTGTCTTCTGGTTGGAGGTGGTACCCTTTTTGTGTCGGGTGTCGAGGGAAACCAATGCGAATACAAACCAATTTGGGGGCGCCCTATTCTAAGGCACACCCATCTGAGTCTTCATTGGGAAGCCTTGTGGACATCATTCTGGTTGGTTTTGTTTATGTACATCAACCACTGGCAAGAACGGGGCCAAACAAGGTGCCCTTTGCAAAATTTGAGTCTGGAGCTCTAAAAGAGCACCGCAACTCGTCGATTCCACGAACGGAGTGCTCCGAACCCTTCAGAATCAATTTTGCAGTGGGGGCAGGGCGTTTCTTGTTTTTGATTGGTAGAGACCAATCGAAGCAGGCGACTCAACCATAGAAGGTCTGCTAGATGAAGAAGAAGTCCCTCCCCCCTTCCCTCAGAGATGGCCAGGGTCTCTCTGTGGCTTCCTAAACCATCGAAAGAGTCCTCGACTTTTGCAAAAACAAAAACAAAACGCGAACCTGCCTGCTGCCCGGAACCCTCCGGCCCCGAGGCGCCGGGTCTCCTGCTGAAGCTATGAAGTTCCGTCAGGGCACCCCCCACCCTCAGGGGTTCCATCAAAACCCCACGCCCCAGAAAGCTTTTTCAGAACCCATTCGGCTAGATCTTCGGTGTGCGCCACTAGATAGAAGACTCATGGCAAGAGTGAGAGGTCATTCCTGCAACCCTCATTCCAGCCATTCTTCCGCTCCTGGCGCAAAAAAAAAAGAAGTCCCCGGGCGAGAACCCACCAGCCACCTCTTTGCCACCGGCTCGCTCGAATCTCACTTTTTGGTTGGGGCACGAAGGGCAGAACCAATTTTCGGCGCCCTCCGCTGGACCAGATAGCCCGAAAGGGAACAGCACTCTTTTCCCCAAAGCGGTTGCAAAAGGACAAGTCTGAAGGGCAAAAATGGCGCAACAGCTGTTTGAAAGAAACTCGCAGGAACAATCGATACGCAAACAAAAAAGGAAACGAACTGGAAGCACGAGAAAACCAGTTGCTGTTGCTGATGCCAAGACAGGAACTTCCAGATGCTCTTGCTGAATCCGCGGAGTTCGCTCCACGTTTTCTCCGCGCTCCTCCACGTCTAAAACCACATAGTCCGGCAGTAGGTGTGTCAAAGGTTGCCTGCAAGGCACTTTCCGCCAAACCGATGGAGTGTCGAGACGAATAGACAAGTTGGACTTTGTGTGAATTGCTTCGAAAGCATGAGCTGCAGCCCTGCAAAGGGACTCGGACTGCTGGGTGGCAATGCGAGATCCGAACATAGCGCCCGCTCTCATGACATTGGAGAATATGCCAAGCACTAAGACAAGGTGCCTGGGTACCATTGCTTGAGCCACTTGCGCTTGTTGCGCGCTAACCAGACCATGAGCTGGATTTTTGGGGGCGTTTCACCAGAAGGTCAAAGCCAAAACCCCCGAAGCGCGAAGGCTGCACTTCGATACTGGGATGCGCTGAGTCACCATGTACATGGTGAGTGTACAAACGAGACGTGTCAAAAACAAGATCTTCCAAGACCACTCGGAGCAACCAGGCCTGGCCATCGGCGGAATCGTCGGCGTTGCCAGCAAGGTCAGCGCCTGGCCATCGGCGCCCGCCCCTTCACCATGAGCTTTTTACCAGCGCTTCTCTATTTGTGTGATAACGGTGAGTGCCATCCTTATGACCAGCGATTCCTCTTTTCTTGGTGTGTGTGTGTGTGTGTGTGAGAGGCGCGAGCGTGCACGTTTCTGTTACAATTTCTCCAGGTCTTGGCGGCCTGGGTTGATTGAGGCGTGATCCGCTCCAAGCTCTCGCCATATGGAAGCTAGTAGATCCCTTCAGAGGCATCTCACTCTATTCTGTGTTCCGCTCCCTTTCTTCTCCTTTGACTTCACAGAAGCATCTCTGTTTCGGAAGTTTTGGGGCGGACCTGAACAAGACGGACACTTGTTGTCTCAGATGCCCAGTGGATTCCATGGGGAAACAGGGGGCATCCTTTTTTGGTTGCTTGACTTTAAAGGAACCGGACCCTTCCCCCCCCCCAAAAAAAAAAAAAAAACGGAGCCCTTCCCAAAAAAACGGAAAGAGCCAAAAAAAGGCCCCCCCCGGGCCACTGGGGCGTTTTCAACCACCCGACGGCTGCGGATCGCATGGATCGCCTCCGCGGCCGCCCAGGGGGACGTTCCGGTGGCCACCAGCGCCAGGCCTCCCGCGCTCGACTCCTCAGGCTGCGTCTGATTGAACCGTTATTCGACTGGGAGTTTCCCCAACAAATATATAGATATAATAATAATAATAATAATAATAATAATAATAATGATAATAAAATAATAATAATAATAATATTTTAAAAAAAAAAAGGAGAGAAAAAACGCCGCGCGTTCTTGAGGTTCACCACGGGACGAAATATCAAAAAGCAAAAAAAAAAAAAAAAACAGAACCAACAAAAACAAAACATGAGGGAACCATCTCAAATTAGCCATCATGAAATGGGAGTCCCCTTTGTGGGGTTCCCTAACAAAAAAAGGAAACTTCAAAGATGGGGATTTGGCTTCCATCTAAATTCAGATGCCAAAACTGACACCGGAAAGTTGCCCAAGCCGCCCAAAGCCCGAGACCCAAAGCGGAGACATGGTGGATGTGGCCTGCGACTTGGCCCAGTTGTTTTACCTTGTTTTTGGGTATGGGGGGGTGTTCCGATCCCAAAGTGGTGGATGAATTTGCACTGAAACCAGAGACGCCCACCTGCGGATGGGTCAAAAATAAAGCACCCAGGGACCGCAGGTTTTTAGTCTACTTCTGCACTTACCAGGGTTCCATTGTGGGTACCTGCTTTTGACCCACAGCCATTTCAACATGCTCCGAATCACTCGGGAGCCCATTTTGGACCCACAGCCACCTAGTGATCATGGGGGCTGGGGGGGAGGAGGGGAGGGGAGGGAGCCAAAATAAGCCCTTATTAAGCCCTTAATAAGGCCTTATTTAGGGCTTATTTGGGCTCCCTCCCCCTCCCCTCCCTCCCCCCCAGCCCCCATGAAGTGACAAACTGGGGTGGATGAATCCGTTGCGATTCAGCGATTGAGCCCCCGGATCTTTTTAGTCCAAACGAGGCCACGGCGTAGGGCTGCAAGGCCAAGGCTCCTGCAAGGCGATCGCTCGGCTGCGAGAAGCGTCGGAGCCGGTGGGTCCTCAAAAAGGTGGTCAAAACCGTCTTGGATCCCATTTTCATACATAAATTCACCCATTTTAGAACCTATTTTAGTGGTTGGATTGGGATGTTCACTGGGGCTACGATTTGACTCTTGACCCATGACCATATGGTCGATCTGGGGTACACGGCAAAATTAGGTGCTGCCTCTGCTCCATGCTTCTGCCCGGAAGTTTCGACATATTTGGGGGAACCACCGGGAAAGCAAGCCATTTCAGGCGTTCCCGTGAGAAACTCCCCGTCTTTTTTGTTGCTCGGACCCGGGGATGTCTTGGGGATATGGACTGACCCTCAGTTTCAGACAGCCCTGGAAGACGTGAAATCAACCCGCCTTCGGACCAGCCGCTGCGAAGACCGACCGATTCCGGCGCCAACAAGTCGAACAAATCCAGACTTCGCGGAGGCCCCGGAAAGAAGAAGAAGAAGAAGAAGAAAAAAAAGTCGTCTTCTCCGCCAGCCCATTTGCCCCAAAACAATCTCCACGGACACGCGAACTCCACACGAACTCCACCCTGATCCCACAGATCCCGCGGATCCCGAGCCTAGGTGCCCGTCCCAGGAGCAGCTGCCCAGCGAGAGGCTGCCGGGCTCCACACGCAGAGGGCCTGGCGCAAGGTCAAAGGAGCTCCGGGGAGATGCTTCCGCCGGAAGAAAAAAATCCCAAGGAATACTTTTCCTCCCTCCAGCTAACATGGGTTAGTGCACAGACCCAGACCCCTTTAGAAAGAATACAGACTCCTCTTGGAAAGTGCCTCTTTGCACTTCCATGTTGGTGGGAGGGTATGGACCCCATAGGATCCAGCTACCGAGTTACCACTTTAGGTAACCCAAAAAGAAGCCTAAGGAATATAGGGCAGAATCAAAACCAGGTAGTAAAATGCTCAATTCAGAACCATGCTTCAATTGAAGAGGCGGAAGTCCGCGGCCATGGACATGGATTGTCCCTTACCCTCCAATGGGGCTTTGAGCAAGTGGCTCCAATGGTCTCGAACTTTCCGTGAGGCTCCATGTGCATGGGAGGGTACGCCGAACTTCACGAAACCATGTGCAACAAAGGCTCGACGAGTTGGAGAAAGCAAGGTTGCACTTCATGGGTTATGAAGGCTGGTCCATGCAGGCATCCCTCAAGTACTTAATTGCTATAATCCCTGTCACGGAAGTCGAACCCCCTGACAAAAAGGCCAAGATGGGCTTGGACTGTTTGGACGAACGGGGTAGTGCAGTGCCCATGTTTGACAAGCCCCCGTTTGTGCAAGTCACAAGCCAGCCGCTCGGCTCGCCCCTTCTCTCCTTTGTCACTGCGAAACCGATGTGCCATGGAGGCAAAACTAGACCTCGCGCTTTGGCAACAGTCAAAGGCAACCTGAAGCCCCACAACCGAAGCCGTTTCAAACCAAAGATTCTCTCAGCTGCTCATTGTCCGACTTGGGTCTAAGTGCCCTCGACCGTTACATTTTGATGCTCCGGAGCCGG